ATTTAATGGTTCTACAACCCCTTCAACCCATGTGCCTTAACTTAAATCCCACTGCAGGCCTCCTGGTGGGTGTCCTCATTGTTCTCATCCTACACAGCAGCAGCACAGCTGCAGCTTCCATTTATAGAGCACCTTTGGGGTCAGGAATTGTGTGAAGCACTTTTTGGTCATTCATTTATTCACTCAATGAGTATTTGTTAGACTGGACTATGGTGCTGGCACTTCTCTGTGAGTCAAGAATGAAGACATGGACAAAATAGACCAGTCCCTGTCCTAAAGGAGCTGCTATTCTAGTCAGGGCAGGCAGAGAATAGACAAGTCCACAGGGAACTGTGTCTTACGTGAGGCCATGGTCAGTACCTGGTAGAATAATAAATCAAGGAGGGAGGGGAAGAGAGGAGTGTGAGGGTGGGTGTGGTGAGGTCGCCCAGGGAAGGACCTCCTGAGAGGGTGGCATTGGAGTAGAGATCTGGAGGAACCAAGGGGGTGAGCTGTGCAGATCCTTGGGGAGAAGTCCATCCACAAAGAGGAAACAGCATGGGCAAGACTCGGAGTCAGGGCCAGCAAGGAGGCCACGGCAGCTGGAATGGAGTGCTAGGAAGAAAATCCAAGATGCACAACAGCGTGTAACATATTACAGATTGTGTTCTGAAAAGCACACGCACACACATGTGTATGTAGAGCCCATCGCTAGGGAGACGATAAGTGTTCAAGGAATCAGTAACTGCCATGAGCTCCAGAGAGAGGAACTGAGCTACAGACAGGTGGAAGAGAGCCTTTTGCTTTTCTTTTTAATTTTTAAATTTTGTGGACACATAGTAGGTGTATCTATTTACAGAATACACAAGATGTTTTGACACCGGCATGCAATGAGTAACAGCCACGTCAGCAGGATGTGGCATCCAGCCTCTCAAGCATGTATCCTTTGTGTTACAAACAGTCCAATTATACTATTTAGTTATTTTAAAATGTACCATTATTATTGACTATAGTCACCCTGTTGTGCCAGCAAATACTAGGCTTTCTTCATTCTATTATTTTTCACTCATTAACCATCCCAACTTTCCCCAACCCACCCCCCCAACTCCCCTTCCCAGTCTCTGGTCACCATCCTTCTACTCTGTATATCCATGAGCTCCATTTTTTTGATTTTTAGATCCCACAAATAAGTGAGAGCATGTGGTGTTTGTCTTTCTGTGTCAGTTTATTACACTTTACATGATGTCCTCTAGTTCCATCCATGTTACTGGAAACAGCAGGATCTCATTCTTTTCTATGGCTTAATAGTACTCCATTGTGTACATGTATCACATTTTCTTTATCTATTTGGCTGCTGACCAGGCTTTTGCTTTTTAAAATAAACACATGTACATGTTTTTATCATGTACATACGTTACTGTTTTTTGTGATTTTCTTTTGAGACAGAGTCTTGCTCTGTTGCTCAGGCTGGAGTGCTATGGCAGGATCTCGGTTCACTGCAACTTCTGCCTCCTGGATTGAAGCAATTTTCCTGCTTCAGCCTCCTGAATAGCTGGAATTACTGGCATGCACCATTAGGCCTGGCAAATTTTTGTATTTTAGGTGGAGATGGCATTTCACCACGTTGGCCAGGCTGGTCTTGAACTCCTCATCTCAAGTGATCCACTTGCCTTGACTTTGCAAAACTGCTGGGATTACAGGAGTGAGCCACTGTACCTGGCTCCATTACTTGTTTAAGAGCAAAATGTTTTCAAATCTAATGAACCTTGAAAAGAAACCTGAAGAACTTTCTAGCTATTAACCACTATAAACAAAAGCAAAAACCATGTAATAAATACTTGATAGTCTAAATTAAAGTTTAAAATCTCTATATGTCAAAACATATTATTTGAAAGAGAAAAATGCAAATGAGGAAAATTTCTCATTCCTTATTTGTAACTGCAGAATTGGTGTGCTGACTACGAAAAAAATCAGGGAAATATTTTAACATGTGCGACACTTGAATGTTAATATCTTTAATATATTAGGAGCCTTAACTAACCCAGAGGAAAAATATAAACACCCTAAACAGAAAAATAGTTAAAGGACATGAGTGAACAGGTACTCACAAAAGAAGAAAAACAATTGCTCAATACATATACAAAAAATGTCTAGTCTTGCCAATTAGCAAAGAAAAATGAATTATCACAAGTTTTCCTACCTATCAGAATAACAGGTGATAATTTGAGAAAATTATAATGTTCTATTACCCAAAAATTCTACCTCTATGAACTTAATGAAATTAGTATAAGTGTGGGAAATTTTTATCGGAAGTACCTGGATTTCAACAGTGTTCCAAGTTACATGTAAACAAGGTCAGATGCAATTTGTGTGTTCAACAAGAGGGACCAGACCAAATCAGTGATGGCCCAAATCATTCCATGGAATAAAATGTAGCCATTAAAATAATAATCGGTCTGGGCATGGTGGCTTATACCTGTAATCCTGACACTTTGGGAGGTGGAGGCAGGAGGATCACTTGAGTCCAGGAGTTCAAGACCAGCCTGGGCAACATAGCAAGACCCTGTCTCTATAAAAAATGTAAAAATTAGCAGGGTGTGGTGGTGGGCACCTGTAGACCACCTACTTGGGAGACTTAGGTGGGAGGATTGCTTGAGTCTAGGAATTGGAGGTTACAGTGAGCTATGATGGTGCCACTGCACCCCAGCCTGGGCAGCAGAGCAGGACTTGGTCTTTCGAAAAAATTAAAATAAATGAAAAGAAAAAGAAATAATTAAAGAAAAAGAAGCTGGTTCCATCTGTAAGGATGGGAGTTGAGGTAGGATCAAGACCGAAAACAGATCAGGCTGGTTCAGTCAGCTCTGGCTGTCACACCCGGGAAGCGCTGCTCATTTCAGTTTTGCCTTCTTTCCTGTGGGCTGCTGGCCACACCTGTCCTCAGCATCCCTTTCTCAAGCCCTGGGAGCAGGAGATTTCAGCAATGGTATGGGTTGGTCATGCCAGGATATTTTTTACTTGGGAATAGCTGAGATAACCCAGTGAATCCTGTTCTGGGCAGCTGTTCTGGCCAGGCACCCTGCTGGTCACTGGGAGGGACACTGACAGGAATAGGTCACAGTCACCGTCTTGGTCACAGAGTTCTTATTGCAAACAATAGAACTTGCTCTAGATGGTTTGAGCTGGAAAGAGATTGATTAGAGAATTCAAGCGTCTACTAAAGGCCAGAGGCACTGGCTTTGTTGGCACAAGGTCAGGTAGAGCACTGAAACCACACTGCTGCACGGCTCCAGCATGACCACCCTGCTACCAGTCACAGTCACGGCCCCCATGCGCTGACACTGCACAGGGGACTCAGAAACCCTTGCCCTGAGAGCCAGAACCCTCCACACCATCATTCCCAGGGAGATTCTGTGGGATTCCAGTGTCCTTGACCCCTCTCTGAAGAGGCCTTGCTGAGATGAGAGTGTTTGCGGAGCTGAGGTTCGTGCCTGTGCCCTGCAGGCAAGGAGGTGAGGGCAGCAAGTCCTAGCCACTCCCAAAGTAAGAACTTTCCACTTCACACTGAGGGAAGTTCTTCACACTTGCAGTTTTAAAGAAACCAAGGGGCTACAGTGCATGACGAATGTGCCCCGATTTCCGGGAACTTAGAGTCGATGCACACTTCAGTCTCATGCAGGTGAAGGCAGAAGTGTGTGGCCCCCTTGGTGAGTGGGGAGGCAGCCAGACAGCACCACAGCTCTTCAAGGAGCAGGAGAGTGACCCCAAGCTGTGTTACGGGTGGTGGGGCTGATTTTAGGGAGGGTAGAGGAGGGTGCTAGAAAGGGTCACTGTGGCCAGCTCAAAGCTTCAAGGACCCCTGGTTACGAACGTGAACTCTCTCTCATCTGTGGGAAGTCAGGGTTAAATTTCTGGACTGTAGCAAGCTGTGGTGGGGAGTGGGGGGACTTTTTGGGATAAAATTGTGCTATGAGCTCAACTGCATCCCCCCAAAATTCATAGGTTTAAGCCCTAAGCCCCAATATCCCAGAATGTGACTGTAATGGAGACAGGGCCTTTAAAGAGGGGACTTAAGTAAAATGAGATCGTTGGAGTGGACGCTAACCCAATACAGCTAGTGTCCTTGTAAGAAGAGGGAATTCAGACACACAGAGACACCAGGGATGCGTGCCATGTACGAGGCAGCAAGAGCCTGGCCTTCTGCAAACCAAGGAGAGAGGCCTCAGAGGAAAACGAGCTGCCCCAACGGCCTGACCTCACATTTCTAGTCTCCAGAACTGTGAGCAATTATGTTTCTTTAGTCAAAGCCACCAGTTGCGGTGTTCTGTTGTGGTGGCCAGAGCAAACGGATAAAGTAGTGGGTCCCTCCGGCACTATCGGAGGTTCTGCTTGTTGCTGTTCCCCAAGGCCGTCCTGGCCATGACGAGGGCAGGTGCGGCTGTTTGGGAGGAGACCGCCGTGGAATGAAGAGAAGGAAGGCTTGCTTGATGCAGCAGGGAGTAGACTACGGATTCTAGGAGGGCTCTGCAAAGGTCCAGTGATTGAGCTTCTCGGGGAAGCCTGAGCTGTATGTAGGTCTTGCTCTCCTGTGCCCTGCAGGATGGCTTGACCCCTTTCTGTTCTCATGCCAGACCCTAAGGGCAGTGTCAACTGGGCCACAGATGCAGGCCTGGTGGGCCTGGTGTGCCTGGTGGGCTGTTCTTATGCCCATCTTCACCTCCTGGCTGTTGTGACTGGCACCCGTGAGGCTCTGTTTCTTTGTGTGTGAAATTAAATAAGGACATGTCATACATCACATGCTAGCAATCCACCAGCACATAGCGAAGGCTCAGCAAAGAGGAGTTCTCTTTTCCTCTGCTTTTTTAGGTCAGGAGCAAATTCAGATCAGGGTGGAGACAAAGTAAACATATAACTCGGGTGGAGATCTGATTGATTAGTAACTCATAAATCATCTGAAACCATACTTTCCTGTTGATAGTCAACCTCTGTAAACACACAATGTGTTCCCACCTTGTTATCATTCCCAATGATGTCAAATGCGTGGTTGCCCTCTCCAGTATAAAAGATTTATGCGACTTTCCCTAGATGCACCTGCCTGTAAGAAGTCCTGCTCGTCACGATGGTAGGTAACTGGTTTTATATATAAAGGTCAGAAAAGCAAAAAAGAATGTGTAGTCCTTATTTAATATGCTGTGATGTGTGCTTCTACTGCACAGCATTGAATGGTAAGTGTGACCTATTTAGGAATCTTTTGTTATTACCTGCAATCCAATGTTCATAGTATGAGAGTCTGGAGCTTGGGAAATTTTTAATGAATTTAGCACTAGTTCTGTTCTCTAAGATCTAAGTTGTTTTTCCTTCCAGTAATTCTGTGGTTTGATTAGGTTTCATAGATGTCTCTAATTCTTGGGTTCTATGTGAGTAATTTGTGAAATTAAAAGTAATTTCAAAGCTACATGACTGCATCATATTTGAGATGAAGGAACTGAGACTGGGGAGGGGAAGAATGTGCCATTGGGGTCTCACTGCAAGCCTGTGAATGAGCTGAGACAGGAACCCAGGCATCCCTCTCTCCCTGCCAGGGGCTCCCAAACTTGTCTGTGCAGTGGAGCCCCCTGGGGAAGTCTGAAGAGCACTGACACCTGGCTCCCACCCCAACACTCTGATTTAATTGGGCTGCAGTGGGAACAGGACATCAATTTTAAAAGCTACCCAGGAGATTTTAATGCTCACTCAAGTTTGAGAATAGTTTCCCTAGGCCCTTTTCACTGTATCTTGTGTTAAGGAAGAATCTTTGGTTTTGGGGGCTTTATTTGTTTGTTTGTTTTTGAGAACAGGGTCTCACTCTGTCACCCAGGCTGGAGTGCAGTGGTGCGGTCAGGATTCACTGAAGGCTCAACCTTCCTGCGCTCAGGTGATCCTCCCACCTCAGCTTCCTGAGTAGCTGGGACCACAGGCCAGCAACCACGCCCGGCTAATTTTTGTATTTTTTGTAGAGACAGGATTTTACTATGCTGCCCACGCTGGTCTTGAACTCCCGGGCTCAAGCAATCTGCCCAGCTCAGTCTCCCAAAGTGCTGGGATTACAGGTGTGAACCACTGTGCCTGGCTAAGAAAGAATTTTTCTTCAAAATTTATAAAAACCTATGCAGGGTTTTCTTGCATCTTAAACTTGATCTTTCTGAAAACGTTCTTTACTAACACCAGGGAAAGAGCTGGGCTGCTCTCAGGGCTGCAAGGGAGATGAGGCAAGAAGCAGCCAGCCAAGTGTGAGGAACCAGGGAGCGGGTCCTCAAGAGCGGACCCTGGGCCTCCTCTGCGTCAGGCCGGAAGACAAACATGCTCTCAGAAACTGTCCTGAGGCAGAACTGGGGATGGTAAAACAACAGTGAGGTTCGGGGTTCTCCCCATCTCCACTGGACTGGCTCCTCCCGCCCATCCTCCATGCAGCTTCACAGGAACTTGGCAAGCTGCACAGCTGGCAATACCCCTGCCTGCCCGCGATCCTGAGGATTCCCAAGTCTTTAGTAATTTAAAAGCTTTATTTTTAATTTTACTTTTTCTTTTTTTTCTTATTTTTTTTGTTTACACCATTTTGCAGAGATATATATATATATATATATACACACATACATATTTTTAGTAGAGATGAGTTCTTGCTATGTTGCCTAGGCTGGTCTCTAACTCCTGGGCCCAAGTGAACCTCCCCACTCGACCTCCCGAAGTCCTGGGATTACAGGCATGAGCCGTTTATGTCTGGCCAGACCCCTAACTCTTGATCATGCGGTAAGACCCTTCCAGGAGCGGTAATTTACCTAAAGAGATATAGCTTCTAAGGGCACTGCCAGTCTGCTTCACCTCAAGGCTGACCATGAAGCTGCACCATCTAGAAAACCCTAGCCCATGCTGGCATGGTGGTGTACTCTCCTGTGTCTGCACACATCAGGGGCTCATGGTTACTAAATGCAGGAAAGGAAGATAGGAATGGAGAGAAGGCTGGTGGCAGAATAGAAGACAAGAATGAAAAGGAGCTTTAGAGCGTCTCTACTCAGGGGTGGGCCTCAGACCAGCAGCGTGGGCATCACCTGGGAGCCTCCATGTAAGTCTGTAGACCTACTGAAGCAGAATCTGCATGTTATTGAATAAGCTCTCTGGTCGGGCGTGGTGGCTCATGCCCATAACCCCAGCACTTTGGGAGGCCAAGGCGGGCAGATCACTTGAGGTCAGGAATTTGAGACCAGCCTGGCCAACATAATGAAACTCCATCTCTACTAAAAATACAAAAATTAGGCAGGCATTGTGGTACACACCGGTAATCTCAGGTATTCAGGAGGCTGAGGCAGGGGAATCACTTGAACCCGGGAGGCAGAGGTTACAGTGAGCCGAGATTGTGCCACTGCACTCTAGGCTGGGTGACAGAACAAGACTCCATCACAAAAAAAAAAAAAAAAAAAAAAAAAAACCCGCCCAGGAATTTATATGCACATTAAAGCAGCACTGGGTTGAGCATTGTTCCTGGGTTCTCACATAGGTAAAGAAACGGAGGCACTGGCTGTTTCTTTCTTCAAGGAGCCTGAGATTGTGTGTTTCCTATTAACTCCCTGGGTAACTCTAATGCTTACCCAAGGGGGAGAACCCCTCTTTTTACAGGGGAGGAAAACTGAGCTTCAGAGAGAGAGAGAGAAAGAGAGTCAGTGTCAGGCTATTTCTGAGATACTGTCAAGTGGGAAATCTCTTAATGAAATAATTTTCTCTCTGCTGTCACCATGTTTGGACTCCATCCCCAGTTGTTCAATCTCGTGCCTTTGCTCTAGAGCTGCAGGAGATTTGGGGATTTTGCACATGTCACTTGTCCTGCACTGCAGCCCTGCTTGTCTCTGTTGACTCTCCGGCTTTGTGACTGAGTGAAACAAGATCTCCAAGATTCCAGTGATCCTCAGTACCCCTGGAGCCCTCTTTCTGTATGAAGAGAGTGAAAAAAGTATCTACAAACCTTTTTTTTTTTTTTTTTGGGAAAAAATGTTTATGTTTCCACAATGATTTTGAGCTGAAGGTTACGCAAAAGAAGAATGAAACAGAATAAGTGCCACTCCAAGTCCTGGCTTGAACTGAATATATCGAGGTTTGACTTGTTTTTACAGAATTTCTTACTTTCTTTCTTTCTGGCTATAAACTCCATACATTTTATTGTAGAAAATTTAGAAAATAAGAGGAAAATTCCAAAGAAGAAAATGGTCATAATCCTATCATTCAAAGATGACTTGTTATTTGGTATAAAACCTTCAGTGTGTCCTGAGCGTCTCTCTCCACATCATGGGAATCACGCATTTCATAGCCTGCTTCACTATGTAATGACACGTGATCATTTGCTCAGGTGACTTCACCTTCTACCTTGCTGGCTCACCAGGTGTTTTTCTGAGTCACTGTTCTCCACCAGCTCTGTTCTTGGGCATTTGGTTTCTTTCCACTTTTTCCACTGCAGTGAGCATCCTTGTGGAGGAGTCCATCTCTGTGCCATTTTTAGGATCACATCTTGGAGATGAAAAGGTGAAATCAAATGCTGTAAATGGTTTTAGGAATGTGGATATATAGTAGCATATTGTTCTCCATAACAGTTGTTCAAAGTATGTCATTCTTGTGCATATCACCTCACATAGATGCCTCTGTTTCTCTCTGGGTTTTATAAATTCAAGATATTCTTGACATTTCATTATGTTTCTATTTGATCTACATATTTATATTTCTTTTGTTATCAGTAAATTGAAGTTTTTCATGTGTTTATTAATCATTTCTCTCTCTCTCTCTCTGTGTGTGTGTGTGTGAGAGAGAGAGAGAGAGAGAGAGAAATGCCACTTTATTTCTCTTGCCAGTTTTCTGTTTAAGATGTTTTTCAGCTGTGTGCTGTAGTCACACTGGAATCCCAGCACTTTGGGAGGCCGAGTCGAGTGGATCACCTGAGGTGGGGAGTTCGACACCAGCCTGAACAGCACAGAGAAACCCTGTCTCTACTAGAAATACTAAATTAGCTGGGCATGGTGGTGCATGCCTGTAATCACAGCTACTCGGGAAGCTGAGGCAGGAGAATCGTTTGAACCCAGGAAGCAGAGGTTGTGGTGACCCGAGATGATGCCATTGCACTCCAGACTGGGCAACAAGAGCTAAACTCTGTCTCAGAAAAAAAAAAAAAAAAAAGGTGTTTTTAGGGCCGGGCATGGTGGCTCACACCTGTAATCCCAGCACTTTGCGAAACCAAGGTGGGAGGATCACGAGGTCAGGTTATTGAGACCGTCTTGGCTAACACAGTGAAAACATGTCTGTTCTAAAAATACAAAACAATAGCGGGGTATGGTGGCACACAGCTGTAGTCCCAGCTACTCAGGAGGCTGAGGCAGGAGAATCACTTGAACCTGGGAGGTGGAGGTTGCAGTGAGCCGAGATCGCACCACTGTACTCCAGTCTTGGTGACAGAGCAAGACTCACTCTCAAAAACAAAAAAAGGTGTTTTTCTTCTCCCATTGGTATATAGTGATATCGTTCTGCAAATTTGATAATCTTTCTAATTTCAATTATGTTCTTATATTTATATTCTGAAATCTTTTTCTTTTATGCTTAGAATAAGTATTCATGTATATATGCTGTGATTATTTTATGATCTCATTGTAAAAATTTAACCCTTGAAACCTTGTAGAATTTATTTCACTAATGGTGACTCAAGTAGGAAATTAACTTTGTTTCTTCCCCAAATAGTTCACCACTTGTTCTAATATCATTTATTGAATAATTGCTCTCTACAGATCTCAAAGACCATGTTTATTTTATAATAGGCTTCTACCTATATTTATACTTTCTGGTTTTCTTATTTTTCTTTTTCACCTTATCCAACTACGTTTGGAACTTTCTGGGTTTTCTATTTTGATGTTTGTGTTTGTCTTTTTTACTGTTAAAGACAGGGTTTCACTCTGTCACTCAGGCTGGAGTACAGTGGGGCTGTCATGGCTCAGTGCAGCCTCAAACTCCCTGGGCTCCAGCGATTATCCCACCTCAACCTCCCAAGTAGCTGGGATTACAGGGGCACACCACCACACCCACCTAATTTTTGTAATTTTTTTTTTTTTACACAGTGTTTTGCTCTTGTTGCCCAGGCTGGAGTGCAATGGCAAAATCTCCACTCACCACAATCTCTGCCTTCTGGGTTCAAGCCATTCTCCTGCCTCAGCCTCCTGAGTAGCTGGGATTACAGGCATGTGCCACCATGCCTGGCTAATATTGTTTTTAGCAGAGACAAGATTTGTCCATGTTGGTCAGGCTGGTCTCAAACTCCCAATCTCAGGTGATCTGTCCCCCTTGGCCTCCCAAAGTGTTGGGATTACAGGTGTGAGCCACCACACCATGCCTTAATTTTTGTATTTTTGGTAGCAATGGGGTTTGACCATGTTGCCCAGGCTCATCTTGAACTCTTGAGCTCAAGTGATCTGCCTGCCTCAGCCTCTCAAATTGCTGGAATTATAGGAGTGAGCCATTGTGCCCTCCCTATCTTTCTATGCTTTTTATTTTTTTGAGACGGAGTTTCACTCTTGTTGCCCAGGCTGGGGTTCAATGGCATGATCTCGGCTCATCACAACCTCTACCTCCCGGGATCAAGCGATTCTCCTGCCTCAGTCTCCCGAGTAGCTGGGATTACAGGCATGCGCCACCATGCCTCCCTAGTTTTGTATTTTTGGAAGAGACAGGGTTTTTCCATGTTGGTTAGGCTGATCTCAAACTCAGGATTTCACTCTGTCACTCAGGCTGGAGTACAGTGGGGCTGTCATGGCTCAATGCAGCCTCAACCTCCCTGGGCTCCAGTGATTCTCCCACCTCAACCTCCCAAGTAGCTGGGATTACAGGGGCACACCGCCACACCAATCTAATTTTTGTAATTTTATTTTCTGACACAGTGTGTCAGGTAATCCACCCACCTCAGCCTCCCAAAGTGCTGGGATGACAGGCATGAGCCACCGCACCTGGCCTTTCTATTCTTATATGAGTCACATACTACTTCAAGTAGCATCACTTCATAATTAATTTTAGAAATCTTACAGAATAAATGCTTTCATTCCCATTGTCAAAAGACAAAAATACAACATATTTAGTTTAAAGATCTTATTTTTATTTATTTATTTTTTTGAGACAGAGTCTTACTCTGTCGCCCAAGCTGGAGTGCCGGGGCACAATCTTGGCTCACTACAACCTCTGCCACCGAGGCTCAAGTGATTCTCCCACCTCAGCCTCCCGAGTAGCTGGGATTACAGGTGCATGCCACCATGGCTGATTAATTTTTTTGTATTTTAGTAGAGAACAGGTTTCACTATGTTGCTAAGGGTGGTTTCCAACTCCTGAGCTGAGGCAATCCACCCGCCTCGGCCCCCCAAAGTGCTAGGATTACAGGCATGGGCCACCACGCCTGGCCCTTGATTGACTTTTACTTGTGAGTCTAGAATCTGGCAACACCTCATTCCATAAAATAGATGGAGTGTTCTAAAGAGCTCACCAGAGAGGTTTGCCTTTATAGACAGAATAGAGCCAGAGAAAGCAGAAACATAGAACAGAAACTGAATTGGTCTTTTCCAGGTGACGTTGCTTATAAAAGTTAAAGCAGAAGGGACTTTCTTATCATGTCAGCTAAAACTGGCCTGTTGGGCATTTGGCTGTTACCTCTCAGTCTCTCCTGATTTCTTAGAAGGTTGGATAAGCAACTTAGTTCTGGCTTAGTAGCAGAGAACTTCACCATGGGCAACTGCGTTTTGGTTTTGTCTATTCGGCCTAGTGCAGGAGCTCAGTCCAAACCAATGGCCTCCTATATATTTCATTGAACACCATCTTCCCTTTCAAGAGTTCCCAGAAATTACCATATTAAGGTTTGTTTATTTCGCTCATCTCAAAAAGATGACAAGGTCAACTAGATACTTTTCCTTGTTCTACAATTTCAGCCTAGATTAACTGGTTTGTTCATGGAGCCATCAAAGATGCCTTTATGATCTGGGAAATGAACTTCCTAGCCTCACCCTCTGTGTTCACAGCGTGGCCTCAACCTATTTTTCCAGTCATATCTCCAACTAATCCAGTTAACTACAATAAGCCTTCAACTATATATGTTTGTTGCTTCTCTTCTCTATCTTTGTTAACGTTTCATTCTTTTCATGAAACTCCTCATTCTGTCCTTTAACTCTTACATATTCTGCAAAGAGGCTAAAGATTGCCTTATCTATAAAGGTCTCCTGAACTTCCTCTGCAATGAAACAGCCCACATATCATTACTGCCCTATGCCTGTTGACTCCTGTTTGCCTCTTTCTATAGTTCATGCTAGTGACTTGTGTGGGTCTTATTCCCTCGCTAAGTCACCTGTGGTTAGGAGCTCCACCTCATAACCTCTACCAGAGCCCAGCAGAGGTCCTGGTACACAGCACTCAGTAAGGGATTATCCTCTGAATTAATTCATTCTTCATCCTGACCTTTTTTCACATTACAGAACGTTCTCCTGGGAAGACTTGTGATCCTTGCAACCTTTGTGACTTTATGCAATGCATCATGCTATTTAATACCCAATAAGATAGTTCCAGGAGAGTCAACCAAGGGTAAGTCTTGGCTTTTCAATGTTTGTTATGTTATTGCAGCCTGGTAGGTGGACCTGTCTGCAGATGAAAACCTTTGCATTATTTTTTGTGTTGTTGTTGTTGTTTGTTTGAGACAGTCTTACCCTGTCTCCCGGGCTGGAGTGCAGTGGTGAGATCTTGGCTCACTGCAACCTCCTCCTACCGGGTTCCGGTGATTCTCCCACCTCAGCCTCTCAAGTAGCTGGGACTGCAGGTGCCCACCACCATGCCCAGCTAATTTTTGTGTTTTTGGTTAAGACAGGTCTTCACCATGTTGGCCAGGCTGGTTTCGAACTCCTGACCTCAGGTGATCTGCTCGCCTTGGTCTCCCAAAGTTTTTGGATTACAGGCATGAGCCACTGTACCTGGCCACACTTGGGGAGCCTTGTAAGAATACAGTGGCCTGGGCCCTGCACCCAGAGATAGATTTCATTGTTCTAGGGTAGGGCTGAGACATAGGTGGTTTTCAAGTACCCAAGATGTTTCACATGTGCACCCAGGGTTGAAAACCACGGATGCGGCGGGGCGCGGTGGCTCACGCCTGTAATCCCAGCACTTTGGGAGGCCGAGGCGGGTGGATCACGAGGTCAAGAGATCAAGACCATCCTGGTCAACATGGTGAAACTCCGTCTCTACTAAAACTACAAAAAATTAGCTGGGCATGGTGGCACGTGCCTATAATCCCAGCTACTCAGGAGGCTGAGGCAGGAGAATTGCCTGAACCCAGGAGGCGGAGGTTGCGGGGAGCCGAGATCACGCCATTCCACTCCAGTCTCAAAAAAAAAAAAAAGAAAACACAGCAGGAAAAACCTTGGTCCCAAGGACCCCTAGGCTCATATGGCTAACTCATTCAAGAAAAGGGCCTTATTTATTTTTTTTTTTGAAATACCTGTTCTGATATAAAACTCAGAAAGATGTAAGCTTTCTGTAAGAAAACGTTACCAGTAGCATGAACTGAACAGTACTGGAATTAGCCATGGGTGAATCCAAGAGCACCATTCTTCAATATTTTTAAAAACAATGAGCTTCTCTCTCTCTGGGAGGGGTGTAGATAGTAGGGGCTGGACTCAGTGTCCTAATAGACCTTATTGTCACTGTATGACTTGCACTGATGATGTGTGTATTGTTTTAGAATGCACGGATCTCAAAGGAAACAAACACCCGTTAAACTCAAGCTGGCAGACTGAGAACTGTGATGCATGTGATTGCCTCGAAAAAGAAATATCGTGTTGTTCCCTGTAAGTCTCAAGTCAATGCTGGCCAAGAGGGGGACATAGAACAGCTTCTCCCTCTTGCAAAATTCCATCCTTCAGGCGTTTGGTTTTTGTTTTAGTTCTTTACAGACTTTAGAGGGTAGTTTTAGATTCACAGCAAAACTGAGCAGAGGCACAGAAATTTCCCATATGCCTCCCACCCTCACACATGCATGACCTCCCCCGATATCAACATCACCCACCACCATCGGCATATTTGTTATGACTGATGAATCTACATTACACATCTTTATCACCGCAGTCTACAGTTTATGTTAGGGCTCACTCTTGATGTTGTGGTAGTGGAGGGTTTGTGCTCAGTCCTATTTCTTCCTTTTTAAAAAATTGTGGTAAAATATACACAACATAAAATGTACCATGTTAACAGTTTTAAATGTACACTTTAGGAGCATTAAGTACTCTCGCATTGTTGTGGCATCACCACCATCCACCTCCAGAACTTGCTCACCCTGTGGAACTGAAGCTCTGTACCCATTAAGCAGTCTCGCTCCATTCCCCTCCCAGCCCCTGGCAACCACCATTTTACTTTCTGTCTCTATGATTTTGACTACTCTATGTCCCTCATATAAGTGGAATCATACAGTAATTGCTTTTTGGGGACTGGCTCATTCACTTAGCATAATGTCCTCACGGTTCATCTGTTTTGTAGAATGTGTCAGAATTTCCTTCCTGTTCAAGGCTGATTCATGTTCTGCTACATGGAGAGACCACATTTGGCATCTCCATTCATCTGTTGATGAACACTGGTTGTTTTCCACTTCAGTCTCATTTCTGTTGTTTTTGAAATTTGATTAGTAGCTTTATTCCAGATAGGCTCCCGAAGACAGGAGAGAGTATCCAATGGTCTGACGCTATTCTAGAGATTGGCCTGGTCATCCTTTCAGCCTTGGCCTTGTAGATTTGCAAAAATAGCAGTGACTCTGAGCATAGGCAGTGGATTAGATGTGAGGGGTAAGGGAGGATCTTGCACTGTAAAACTTATGCTGCTTCACTGCTCAAGTTTACCTCACATCAGGTAAAAGGCTATGCAGATGTTTTCTGCTGGGTTGCTATGGATTCCAGATGTCTAGTACTTGAGCAGACAGAACACAGAGTACCCTTACTGTGGTCCTAATTTACCTGTTTCCTCAGCAGCTATGTCCATACCAGCCAACTAACTCCCAACCCCTCAAGTCCATCTAACCTCTTCATGTAGTCTTGGCTTGTAGTGTTTTGCGGAAACAGGAGTGGATCTATGGCAGAAGCACTGGCATCAAGGGGCATTTCCCAAGCTTGTCTGATCACAGACTCACCTGGGAAGCTTGATGAAATACAGATTCCTGGGCTCTATCCCAGAAGTGACTGATCAGAATCTGTAGGGGAGGGGCCAAGGAATCTCCATTTTAACAGGTGCCTTTAGAGTCTTATGAGGACACCATGAGTAGAGAAGCAAGCACTTGACTTAGATCAGAACACCTGAGTCCTACTGAACTTGAGGTGTCTGGAGAGTTCCAACTACATTTATTGAGCAAGACCCATGCTAGGTGCCTAACAGAACAAGAGGAATATTGGACTGGGAGTTGGCTGGCTGCTCAGAGCAGACTCCCAGGCATCGCATTGGCCGGGTCACTGAGTATTACAGCTGAGCCTTGATTTTGTGGCTCCAGAGATTTAACATTGTCTTTATAGCAAGTGTTGATGTCACTATGGTAGAGTGTGATTGTATCCCAGACAAGTGAAGGAATGGTGACTGGTCCCTCCCTAATATAGGAACACAGCTCCCTGGTGGCTAAAGCATCCATGTCTCCCAGATTTGGCATCCCTGACCTCTTCTAGGATTTTCCACTGTAGGCTTGGATTCTTGTGGACCTGGTGTGGAAAAGAGCCAGGCTGTTCCTTGCAGGGAAGAGGAAAGAACCTCAATATTGGAGTCAGAGTAACTTGCGTCTGAATCTCCATTCCCTTGTATACTAGCTGTGTGACCCTGAGTACGTTTCTGAATGTCTCTGAGCCTCTATTTCCTCACAGTATAATCAGGGATGATCAGGTGGCTATGAGAATTAAATGAGATTGTGCATATACATTGTTTAACCCAACAAACACTTAAAGCCTTCTCAGTGCCAATTCTGTGTCCTGTGAGCCTGGGGCAGTAACCGACACCTGGTCAGGTTTCAGGGTGCCCTTTCCTTTCTCCTGCCATATTGCCTGTTCCATTTAGCACACTGCTCCACACGGGGGAAAAGAAGGCAATTCCTTCTTCCCTGGAATTGCCTCACTTTCTACCAAGTTTGTTTTCCTCATGAACTTTTTTCTCCTCTGTGGAAAAATACAGACTTTGATTAAGCTTTTTCTGGAAGAAGTTTTTGGACCCACTGCACCCTCTATGGGACACTGCCCAGATCTCAAGGTGCTCGGTGGCAGTGGAGCCTGAGGCTGGGGGCCCAGGCAGAGGCTCCTCAGCAGGGCGTGGGAGATGTCCTGGCTTTCATGGATAGCTGAATACCTGATGTTGACTGTTTCTCCTCCCACTCTCTCTCTGCTGCTTCACCTGCAGAGCTAAGTCTGGTTTGAATTGAAATAAGCATCCTGTAATATGTCCTTTTCCTTACGAACTTGTACTTGCCCACAGGCAGCAGAGATTCACCATTTCACTTCCTACCACGAACTAAAAGAGTTCTATTTGTTTGGCCAGGCACGGTGGCTCACGCCTGTAATCCCAACACTTTGGGAGGCTGAGGCAGGCAGATCACCAGAGGTCAGGAGTTTGAGACTTGCCTGACCAACATTGAGAAACCCCGTCTCTACTGAAAATACAAAATTAGCCGGGCATAGTAGCGCATGCCTGTAATCCCAGCTACTCAGGAGACTGAGGGAGGAGAATCACTTGAACCCAGGAGGCAGAGGTTGTAGTGAGCCAAGATTGCGCCATTGCATTCCAGCATGGGCAACAAGAGTGAACCTCTGTCTCAAAAAAACAAAAAAAAATTGTATCTCTTAAGAAACACCACCACTTTATTTTTAACTTTTTTTTTTAATTGTGGTAAAATGTATATTACATAAAATGTGCCAATTTAACCATTTTAAAACATACAATTCAGTGTGGCATTAAATACACTCACAGAATGGTGTTTATGCAACTATAAACACTATTTCCAAAACTTTTTAATGACTCCAACCTGAAGCTATATCAAGTAAACAATAACTCAGATTCCCCCTCCCCCAAAACCCCTGGTAACCTGAAATCTACTTTCTATCTCGATGAATTTGCCTAGTCTAGGTATTTCATATAAATAGAATCACATCGTGTTTGTTTTTTTGTGTCTGGCCTATTTCACTTAGCATGTTGTCAAGATTCATATATGTTGTAGGAAGTTATCAGTACTTGCTTCCTGTTTCTGCCGGAATAATATTCCATGGCATGGCTAGACCACATTTTGCTTATCCATTTATTTGTTGATGAACACTTGAGTTGCTTCCACCTGTTGGCTAAAGTAAGTAATGTTGTTCTGAACATTGTCAATATACAAACATTGGCATATAACGTTTGAGTCTCTGCTTTGAATTCTTTTGGGATATGCCTAGGAGTAGCTTGCTGGGTCATACGGTAATTTTTTGTTGAACTTATGGAGGATCTGCCAAGCTGTTTTCCACAGCAGCTGCACCATTTTACATTCCTACCAGCCAACAATCACCTTTAAACATGCAAGGTTGTAAATGATATTTTCCCCAATTTTCTAAGTAAAACATATGAATTATTGGAAAGTATAGGAGAAAACAGAAAAACCTACTTATAATCCTGACTGCTTAAAGGTAATAACTATTATTCTATCATATTTTCTTATTTATTTGTATTAAAAAATTGAGACAGGGTCTCACTATGTTGCCCAGGCTGGTCTCAAACCCCTGGGCTCAGGCTGTCCTCTCACCTCAGCCTCCTGAGTAGCTGGGATTACATGTATGTGCCACCATGCCTGGGCTTCTATCATAATTTCTTTATGTCTCTTTCCTACATTTATTTTCTTGCACATAGTGAATATTAAATTTTATATCACAATTTTGTGTGACTTTTTTCACATAATATTCTAGCATTGGGCTGGGCATGGTGGCTCATGCCTGTAATCCCAACACTTTGGGAGATCAAAGGGGGTGGATCATTTGAGGTCAGGAGTTCAAAACCAGGTTGGTCAATATGGTGAGACCCCACGTCTACTAAAAATATAAAAATTACCCGGGTGTAGTGATGCATGCCTGCAATCCCAGCTACTGAGGAGGCTGAAGCAGGAGCATCGCTTAAACCTGGGAAACAGAGGCTGCAGTGAGCTGAGATCGCGCCACTGCTGTCCAGCCTGGGTGACAGAGTGAAGCTGCATTTCAAAAAATTTAAAAAATAAACAAATAATTAAAAATAAATATTCGAGCATTAGTACCATCTCGTCTCGTCAGAACTCTTCAAAATATTTGTATGAACTACAGCTCAATTAGAGGTGATCTCTGATTTTTATCAGCTTCTCCCAGGGCTCCTTGACACTGGTCTGGAATAGCTCTTTGCTCCGGTTAGTTGAGAGAGCTCCTTTGCCAACAGGCCTCCAAGCCAGGGCTGGGCCAACTGTTCCCTTTCCACATTCTAGCAACAATATACTGGCCACTTCCTGAAGAGGGAGGGTGGGCGGAGCCAGCCTGGAACAAGCTGCCTAGCTCCAGAGCAGCCAGACTTTCCCCTGCCTGTCAGCACCTACCGCTGACCTGTGCCTACAGGATGGAATGTAGGGGTGGGCTGTGTGACTCTATGGTACAGACCGGTCCATATTCTTGGAGGCCACACTCTGGGGCTGCCAGCCAAGGGGTGCCCTTAAGTTGGTGAAGGCACCCCAGCCAGCTGGAGCATGGGTGGCTTCCTGAACAGAGCTAGCACTGGGGAGGGGGTTCTGGGGGTCCTTTCTCTCCCAACAGGCTCTGGTTTTGTCTCAATGACAGTATTGCTATACCTGTGGGATATGACAAAGACAACTGCCAGAAAATCTTCAAGCAAGAGGACTGCAAGTATATTGTGGTGGAGAAGAAGGACCCAAATAACACCTGTGATGTCACCGAATGGATATCGTAATGTGCTTCTAGTAGGCACAGGGCTCCCAGGCCAGGCCTCATTCTCCACTGGCCTGTAATAGTCTATGATGGTGTAGCCTTGCCTATCAGTAAAAGATTTTTGAGCAAACACTTGAACATGTGTGTACTTTTAATTTATAACTTATGTATACATTGATTTAATACACATTATAAAGTATACAAAACATTTAAGAGGGAGACAAAAATACATACAAAGGGCCGGGCACAGTGGCTCATGCCTATGATCCCAGCACTTTGGGAGGTTGAGGTGGGTGGATCACTTGAGGTCAGGAGTTTGATACTAGCCTGGCCAATATGTTGAAACCCTGTCTTCACAAAAATTCAAAATTAGCCAGGCATGGTGGCAGGCACCTGCAGTCTCAGCTACTCCTGAGGCTGAGGCAGGAGAATCACTTGAACCTGGGAGGTGGAACTTGCAGTGAATTAAGATCACACTACTGGCCGGACGCTGTGGTCACACCTGTAGTCCCAGCACTGTGGGAGGCCAAAGTAGGCAGATCATCTGAGGTCGGGAGTTTGAGAGCAGCCTGAACAGCAGGGAGAAACCCCGTCTCTACTAAAATATACAAAAATTAGGCTGGTGTGGTGGTGCATGCCTGTGATCCCAGCTACTTGGGAGGCTGAGGCAGGAGAAGTGCTTAAACCCGGAAGACGGAAGCTGCGGTGAGCTGAGATCACACCATTGCACTCCAGCTTGGGCAACAAGAGTGAAACTCTGTCTCAAAAAAAAAAAAAAAAAAAAAAAAAAAAAAAAAAAAAAAAAACACAACCCCGAAAACCCAGCCTGGAGACAGAATAAGGAGGACCCAAACAAAAAAAAA